TAGATTAAGGCAAGAAAACTACTTGGTTAGGTTTAGGAAATGATTCTGGTTTCGATGGTCTGGGTTAAAATACACCCTTTCTCAACATTAACCACATAGTGGAAGGCAAACTTTTTCCATCCGCAATGAACGTGACAAGTCCCACCCCAGTGTGGAGTGTCTAGAGTATGATTGGATGCTTAAAAAGCAGCTGCAGAGAGAACATTTGGACATGTGGTTTCTTCTATTTCAAATGTTACGGAAGTCTATGAGACTAAACTGGATGTTGAAAAATGATGCTGAAGTGGTATCCAGTGCGTTAAAATGTGACACCGGGGGTCCTGAGCAACAACCTTTAAACCCAAGTTGTAATAGAACCTATTTTTTCTTTAAAGTTAAATATCTAGTGTTAGGCAATGAATCGGCTTTCTCGTTCAACATTGTTGTGATGTGCACGTAAAAGTAAGACCACAGCCAGCTGCTGGTTGGCAGGTTACCAGCACCTCTAATGCACATCACTTGACATGTCATGTCTTGTATCCTTTATCTATGCAAAAGAAATTTCCTCCGATGCTGCGTCTGAAAGCCGCCCCCTCGCTCTGCCATTCCAAACCCGTCTTCCACAAACTACATTCCTACTCAAGCGAACTGAATTCTCAATTGCGTATTGAAAGAAATGTATGTTTTCCCTGAAGTGTAACGTAGTAGGAAAGGCCGCCAGTTTGAAGAAGCCACATAAAGAGACAGGAGTCATGGAGGAAACACAGCCAGGGTGATCCAGACTCATGTCCCATGTGGGGTCAAGTTATTGTGCGGTGAAGTCTTATTTTTACTTGATTTCAAATGTTTTTGTGATACGCTACAAACAACCGTAATCCATCCAAACTATAATTCAGATTGCGGTTTACTTGTATAGGAACGTAGTTTGTGAGATTCGCTGCCCCCTACCAGCCACTCACTTAGTCAATAGGGACAGTAAAGTGACTTATTGGACACTTACTAACCATCGTTCTGTTGACATTGGTTGTCGTGTACATGTTAGAGACACCACTGTACATGTTCCACTATAGGGCGCAACAGAGATCCAGATCAAGCCTCCTAAAAGTGACTTTTGTTCTTTTTGTGGGCACAGATTGTGGCTTCATTAAATGTAGTGTTAACAGGATATCAAGCCTACTGGTAGTAGTAGGAGGAGGATTAGGAATGATATCTGCTGCCTTCTAACACTTGTTTAATGGTATAACATCCCAGTTGGATGCTATTAAAAGGTCTGTTGCCTTATTTCTTAAAACATAACTCACTTCGAGAGCTAAGTAACTGCTGCTGTAAAGATTGCGGCAAACTAAGACGAAGCAGCTTTTTTCTGATCCGAAACACCTGAAGGAACATACAGAGAGAAAGGGAAGTGGAAATAAAAAGGAAACAGCATGCTCCCTCAGCGAGCATATTAGGAAAGCACGGTTAGAATGATTTGCAGCAGACCACAATGAAAAACCACTTTGCCGCTATGAAAGGCGAAGGCAAATGAATGGATCATCTCTTACTCCCAGTGTAAACATAGCTGCAGCGGTTAATTCATACGGGATTAGGACAGTTCAGCCGATGACATTGGCTGCTCATGTATGCTCAGTGTACACTCACATGCGGCGGATCGTGTTTCAAATGCCGTATTCCCAAACACTCCTATCTAATGTTTCCCCAACAGGACACCTGCTCACGACTCCCGGCCTTTATTTTTCACCTTCCTGACATGTGTAATGTATCCGCGGTAATTCTACACAGAGTACTACAAGCCTACATGTGTCATAAACCCCCTTTATCTGCGCGAGCTAAGATGTTGCTACATGTCCAGCGTTCATCATCATTTCCTGCTGTTGCTTCACGAAGAACAATGACTGTAATTACGGTCGGGACGATAACCGCCAGAAATAACAGTGCATTCTGGCACGCCGAGTCAATTTGTCTACAGTCTGCATTCAGAATGGGTTATTTGCTAGAAAAATACTTCCTATTTTCCAAGTCTGACCCGGTCCTCCCAAGAGCTAAAAGCAGTTTGCAGTGCTGCTAATGACACTAGCTAGCTGACGCGATAGCTGCTATGCATTTTGGCATGCTAACACAATTTGTGAAGACTCTACATTTAAAATATGTGTAATTTTGAGGGGAAGTTCTATCTTTTATTCTGATCTGTTCTTTTAAAGACCTAAAAACAATCTACAGTATTTTTTAAAGCAGACTCAATCGCAGCTAGTGCTAATGACACTAACCCGATGCTAGTTGATGTATCAGCTGCTATGCATTTTGGCATGCTAACTCAATCTGTCTACTTTTAAAATATTGTGTGGGGAAAATGCTTCCTTTAAAAGAAATAAATAAATAAAAAATCCCATCTGTTTCTTCCAAGAGCAAAAAGTTTTTTTTCCCCCCATTTTTCATTTTTAGTGATAGACTCAGTTGCAGCAGCTAATAAAACTAGCTAGCTAATACAACAGTTGCTATTCATTTTGGTAAGCTAAATCAATTTAAATAGAGTCTACATTCAAAATAGGTGTAATTTGAGGGGAAGTGCTTCTTTTTTTTTCCTTGCAAGAGAGAGAAAAGCGCAGTTTACAATATTTTTGGTGGCAGACTCAATTGTAGCTTGTGCTAATGACACAAAGCTAGCCGGCGAGCTAGCCCCAGCTAAAACTTAAACCTAAAGCTAAAACTACTTTTAGTTATTTATTTTTTTAACTGTACTGAAAAATATTTAGGTTTGCTATTAAACAAATAAACACGGTAGTAGGCAAATATTTTGTTAATTGTGTAAAACACCAGCTAAGTCAAGCTAAAGGTTCGCTTTGTTCATAGTAACCGCCGTCTCAGCTTTTGCCTAAATTACATTTAAAATGGATTTAAATATATGTAGTTCAAAAATACATTATTTTAGGTTATTCAATTTAATAAAATATAACAAATTGTATTACTAAATAATTACGAACTACTGAAACTACTGAAGAAAAAAATCCAAACAACCAATCAGGACCAAAAACTCAACATAACACGATATGATTTAAAGTTCAGCGTTACAAACAAATCAGACACTAGTTTGAGGAAAAGTTCCCCCATTTTGAATCCACCGGACCACCCATTCTTTTTATGAGCATCTGTTGCTGTCTCCAGATTCCGAACATTTAGTCATTTGTGAACTCTTTCACCACTACCGACTTATCAGCCTGCAAACGAGGAGCCTTGAGCGCTGATTTCAATTCTAAGGTATCAGCAGATTTCTGGGAAGACTCAGGACAGACTGATTCACCACAAGCTGTATTAGTCCAAAACAAAAAGTGAACCACATTTTCCCATCAGCGTCCTCTCACAGGGTCGCCAGTGCATCTTTTTTTTTGTTGTTCTTTTTGGCTCGACGCTTCTGGACAGCTATTTTCGAACGGCTCCCTGTTCCAGAGATACGGTCACAACCTGACAATCTCTGGACGCTTCGCAGAGATTCTTCGGCTTTTATTTGATGTGCACGTTGCTTTGCGTCGAGGAACGGCGGTTGCTAAGAAACCCGTTCCTCTGACCTGGAAAATCAAACGCTCCGCCCGGCTTACGGAGATGTTGTCTGTTGTGCAGATGGAAAGAGTGCGTCTGTACGAACCCAGTAACAGAACCAGGTCCAAAGAATATCGGGGCCTTTGTTGCATCGCGTCGCTGCTTCATCGGTGCTGCTCGTCTTCATTCCCAACATGCTAATATTGTAAAAGACAGCTGTTGTTTTTCTTGACTCCTTTAGTAGGTTTGCCTTTTTTTTCCTCTCTTTTAGTTCATATTTAGTTTAATTTATTGAAAACTGTAAATAAAAAACTTTATTCCCTCAAACAAATTAGTTTAAATGGAACTAAAAGAACATTTTACTCGCATTTCGGAAGGATTATTGGATGTACGAAGGTATTCCATCTGTATTTTTAGTCTTTATTGGTGGAAAAATAATCAAATTACTCCGCTCTGCCTTTATAGACCGGTCCTGTATGAAATAAATGAGGCATACGTTGCTTTTTTCTTTGACTTATAGTTAATAACGCCACATTGGCAACCGCCCTCCTAATGCACAAAAAACGCTCAGAAAAGAAGAACAGCAGGCACAGAACCCGACCCCCGGTTCTCTGAAGCAGCGTTCCCAGCCAACGAACACAAACATAAAAATGCCTGATAGCGATTTTATTTAGGGAAAAAACACGAGGTTTAAAGCTGTTTAACAACCGGTCTGTCGTTCGCAAATGGTGAAGAATGAAACTATGAAAAAAAAAAGTGCTGGTCATCAGTTTGAAGATTTAAACACCGAAGCTTTCATCGATACTCTGAGAAATATTTTTGGATTATTCATAAAATCTGCAGCAAACACGATCCAATGTTGGTTTACTGACTTCACATGACAGACAAAATGGCTGCCGGTGAGCTTCTGCTTGAGTGTGTGTGTGTGTGTGTGTGTGTGTGTGTGTGTGTGTGTGTGTGTGTGTGTGTGTGTGTGTCAGAGAGAAAGAAACTAGACAAATACAAAGTTCTGCGAGCGGGGAGATGACCTCCGGCAGAACCCAGGTTCAACCTCCACTAATTACACAAACGCGGCTCTTTGATTTGCTTCCTCGATCCCACGACGTGAACCCGTGACTAAAACTCGTCGGCTTCATCTCGTCAGCGTGTAATTACGCTCGGAGGAACACGCAGTAACACCAGTTGGTGAAGAATGCACCGGCGCCTGTTTGGGCTTTTTGGTTTCAGTGCGACAGCGAACAATAGAAACAATCAAAGGTGTGATTGATTTGGATTAAAGCTAATTTCATGTCCGCGCAATTTAACAGCTAACACCCTAAATTAGGCAAATTAGGAAGGTTTCCAAACGTTAATCATCACTTCTTTTTTTTTTTTTAACGCCTCACATCAACACAGAATATCTCTAATGATTTGATTCCTTTTGCTTTTATAGTTTATCTTAACGCATCAGAGTGGATGCAGCTCTATCCGACCGTCCTCCACCTCACCTGGGTCTGCGTCAGGCCCAGCTTGGCGGCCAGGTCGGCCCTCTCGGGCAGGGCGAGGTACTGGGTTTGCTGGAAGCGCTGGTTGAGCGCCTGGAGCTGCAGACTGGAGTAGATGGTGCGAGGCTTCCGGATCTTCTTCCCCTTCCCGTTCAGCCTCACCTCCCCGTTCTCGATCACCGCCGTGGGCTTCTCGTGCTCTAAACGACGAGGACGAGGAGAGTTAGTACCAAGGCTGGGTTTTCAGTGGAGACAGAAGCTAAAGAAAGTCATTAATGTGTTCAGATAATTAGTAGGTGTGCAAATGGGAGCAGAAATAAAGTGAGAAGGTCTCGAGCTTCTAGTGGAGCAGAAACATGTTGGAAATGAATCATGTGTTTGTTTGTCACTGTGTTTGCTCCAATACAGAATTTTTATTTTTGTAAATAGCAGAAAATCTTTTCCTAACCATCAAGAACATATTTTAATTACATAGTTTTTGTCTAATATATTTTTTAGAAACACAAATATACATACATGCTCTTGACCAGCTTAAATTTGAACTAAAATTTGCACCAAATTTCAAAATAAAACGAGGGAACAGGGATGGTGCTAATGAACAGAAATAAAAGAAATTTGCCACATTAAAATGAGATAAAGTGTGTAGAACTTCCTCCAGCACTTTAAAAACAACCAACATACTGGACGTGTTGATCCAGTGACTCGAATCCACATTAACACTGTTTCCCTGCTACATGAACCCACACTGAGCCCGTGTCCCAATAAAGATTTAGTTTTTCCTTTTAAATAACAGAAAATCTTTTCCTAACCATTAAGAATTTTACCCCAACATATTTTAATTAAATATTAGTTGTCTAATATATTTTTTAGAAACACAAATATACATACATAATCTTGGACCATCTTTAATTTGAACTAAAATTTGCACCAAATTTCAAAATAAAATCAAAGGTGAGGGAACAGGGATGGTGCGAATAAACAGAAATAAAAGAAATTTGCCACATTAATAAGAGGTAATGCGTCTATAACTTCATCCAGCACTTATGTATATAAAAAACCAACATACTAAACATGTTGATCCAGTGACTCGAATCCACATCAACACTGCTTCAGAACCACCCACTGGTACCGAGCACCCTGCTACATGAACCCACACTGGGCCCGTGTCCCAAAAAAGATTTTTTTTTTTACCTTTTAAATAACAGAAAATCTTTTCTTAACCATCAAGAACATATTTTGATTACATAGTTTTTGTCTAATATATTTTTTAGAAACACAAATATACATACATGCTCTTGACCAGCTTAAATTTGAACTAAAATTTGCACCAAATTTCAAAATAAAATGAGGGAACAGGGATGGTGCTAATGAACAGAAACCATAACTTAAGTATAACTTCATCCAGCACTTATGTGTATAAAAACCAACATACTAAACATGTTGATCCAGTGACTTGAATCCACATCAACACTGTTTCTAAGCCGCCCACTGGTACCGAGCACCCTGCTACATGGACCCACACTGGGCCCGTTTGTGTTGGTGTGCTGGTTAACAGCTAATCAGCCGAACAGGCAGCTCAGCCGAGAGGGATTTTCTCCTCTCTTTTTTTTTTTTTTTTTCAGGAAAGCAATCCTGTGTATATGTTCGCCCACGCTGATCTCTGTTATGACATGAGCTCACAGCCTGCAGTGGCAGGAGAGAACAGCTGTGGACGAGCCAAGGGCCCCACAAGACGCTCTGTAAGCCGGCCTGCAGCCAGGAGGGATGGAAGCGCCGGCACGCAGGAGACCAGGGGGAACAAAAGGAAAGAATCTGACCAGGACGGAGGAGACGTGTTAGGGTGTAAAACGTTGGGTTGTGTACCGAGGCCCACAAGTAACAGTAAATGTGAGCGGCCTCTTGGTTCCAAACAGGAGATTAAGAAAATAAAGCATTGTTACCAGGCCAGCAAAAAGAAAAGGGAAATAATTCACATCATATGGGTTCTATGTGTGAACAAATATCCTTTTGTTTCCCCCGAAAACTCATTCATAAACAAAGCAGCGTAATATTTTAGCCAACAGCTCGGTGGTCAGTTAGATCCTAGAAAAGTCCAACAACGAAGAACCAAACAGGCTGATGTGGAAACCTGCTGATGGTTTTCTATCGCTCCTCGTTTTCTGTTTGAGATCGTGTTGATAGATTTTAGAAACTTTATTTACTGAGGCACAGCTTCATTTATACATCATGCAGTGGGATTTTTTTTGTTTTGTTTTGTTTGAAACTATTGATATTGTCACTTATTTAGTGTCGAGCAGCAATTATTTTAATTGTTGCTCAATCCGTTGAGTCATTCCTTGATTAATTAATTTGTTGTTTGAGCTACAAAAATGTAAATTAATGCTGAACAATTTGTCAGATATTTAGACAGAATACGTTTAAGAAGTTGGATTTTTTTTCCCCCCTTTTCCTAAAATTACTAAAAGTAAACAAAATAGCTGCAGATTAATTTGATAATAAACTAATTAATAGAACTAATAAATAATCATTGCAGCTCCACAGCTTACAGACAGACTTTAAATGAATAAAGAAATCAGTGTGGGTTAAATCACATGTAAATTACATAATAAACCAAATTAAACTGTTGTTTATTTTGATTTTCTGCTGTTTTGTGTCTATAAATTGTGAAACCATGCGGCTGTCTGGGAAGCTTTTGGGTTCCTGGTGGTTTTTAAACAGAATGAGATGATTTTTTTTTATTTAAAATTGAATGAATCCATAGAAAAAAAAGAAAAAAGAACCAAAATGCACCTGGTTCCAGAGAGGTCTCCACAAAACCCCCGAGTAGAAAATTAAAGCATGATGTGGACGAACAACAATGTTAGAAAGAAAAACTACAAATATGTGTTGGCCTGCAGTTAAATATGAGGTTTTAAAAAGAATCTGCAGCATCATGAGGAAGATTAAAATCTGCCTCTGGGCTCCATCTGTTCATAATAGTCGACAAATAGTGATGATTCCTAAACATGCAGGACTGTGACATATAAAACAACCATCATGCAAATTGGAAATGTGTTACTGCAGTTTTGGATTCCTGCTCCAGCCACAGACACGGTGTCATCCTCTATTAGACCGGACCGGGTGGAGGGGAGGAAGGGGTTTGACATCTTTATTGGCCTTTATTGGTTTTTTATGATTTAACAGAAGAAGTGATCAGGATGAATCAGTCAATGCAACAAGCAAGAGAATAAATCCCAGGGTTTTTTTTCCTGAAGGTTGAGGTTGAAATGAGTAAAAATCTGCAACGCTCAGGAGATAATAAGTGATTTAATTCCTTTTTTTTTTTTTTTAGGTGTGACAGCAGGTTGTGATCCCTGCAGCGCGCGCACAGGGAGGATGAGGATGATGAGGGTTTTTGGGGTTTGGTTTTTCTCTCTTTGGAGGGACTGAAGCTCCCGTGGGCCGCTGCGGGACACCACAGGCCCGGTGTCGGCTGCTTCTTGTGGAGAGTCCCACAGTGTGCGCAGGCCTCAAACTCATCTCCAACCCCCTCAAAAAACACACCAAAGCGCGCCTGTGTGTGGATCCAATTATTGCTGTGGCTTATTTTCATGTTTTTACAGACTTATAGATCCACTTGAAGGATTTTAATGGTCTGAATTTTTCCCCCTCTGGTATCAACCTTCGTGCGTATTTGTTGTGCGTAATGACCTCTGTGGCATCAGTTTGGCGGGTTTGTGGCCTGTTTGGTAAAAACGAGACGCTGATTTGTGAGAAAAACACATTTCAAATGCTTCTCCTGTGCTGTCTGTTCATTTTACTTTTCTTTGCCATCTTTCAACACCAATTAAATAACTGTAAATATTTGAGGTCACATTGAGGCCAAAGTAGAAGCAACACATTATTATTAATATTATCGTTATTTTTCTGTTAAGCTGTGCGTAAACGTACCCGCATCCTCCAGTCTGGTGTGTCCAAGCGCGCCGCTGTGACCCCCGTGCTGGTAGGGCAGGTATGCCCCGGGGTGGTGCGCGCTCACGGGACTGTGGTAGGGCGGGTATCCCAGCGGGCGGCCGTACGAGGATGCACCGGAGGAGAAGGGCCCGTCGTGCTGCGAGGGCCCGACGGCGTGCAGGCCGTGGACCGGGTAATGGTTGTGGGACAAGCCCGGGGAAGGCTGCTGGTGTCCGGGGTGTCCTGGGTAGCCGTGGCCGCCGAACTCCAAAAACGCCGATTTGGACGGATCAGTGGGGACTAAAGTGTCCGATATGGAGCTCATAGTCATCATTGGGGTGAGGGGCAGTGATTCGGTGGGAAAGCAGGGGGTCAGCTATGGCCTCCAGATGGGGGTCATCATCCGGCAACCCACCATAAAAACAAGAATTAAAAGAAGAAGTCAACAGGAGCGCGGGTTTTTGTTTTGCACGAACCAGCCTTTATAATAAAAAGAAACGTCGCGTTATTCCTGTTCGGTAAAAAGGCGGGTGTGAAGCGGCTCTAGGTGGGTTTGTCCTCCGCTACATCCCAGCTGAAGGGTCCAAAAACCTGACGCTCAGTGTTCAGAACCATTGAGACAAGACGGGACGCATGAAACGCGGCCAAAAAAACAAACAAACCAAAAAAAAAAAAAAAGAAAGAAAAACCTCCTAACAAAGAAACATTAAAAAAACATATATTAAATCCTTCGAGTCGGACTTTTCCCCCTCTCCGGACCGAGCCTGGTTTCCCTCCGTGCTGTGCAGACTCTCCTGGCAGTGCAGCGCGTCCCTCCCCTTCAGTGCGCACTGTGCGTCTGAACGGGCCCCTCGCTGCTTCCACTTGGCGCACGCAGCGCGCTCATTGGCTGCAGCGCTGCGCCGTGTCACACAAATCACAGGCGGCACCGGCGGCGGCGGCGGAGGACCGGCTCTGCACCGGGAGCTATTTTGGCGCAGAACGAGGCCTGAGTAATGCAAAAGAAAAAAAAGAGAAAAGAAATATGTGAAGAGCAATTATTTTTATTATAATTATTATTATTTATCCATTAAAATATGAAACGTGTGACACTGTGGACAAAAACCAAGACAGTGATTCCTCTTGTTCCTCCTCCTGGATGTCAGTTTATTAAGAAACAGTAGGTTAATAAATAAAGACATTAATTAATAAATAAACAACCAAACAACAAGCAAAGAAAAAGTCACGAGGCGCGTTTTTTCACCTGATAAATTATTTTATGGAGGTAAATGACTCCTGAGGCCTTTAATTCACTTTTCATTAAACAGAATATTAACAAGTCACTCAATGTAGGATCCAACATGTGGGATTTCTCACCTAAAATTAAATATAAAAAATACATTTGCGCATTTTTCAGCTTCAGTGTGGCGCAAAGAGAGACATCAGGGAAACGCAGCGACGATCTAATTGTTTGCCAAAAGCACAATAAGGCGGATCAGACCGAATTATTTTCATAAGCTGCTGCTGAAAGGTCGCAGGCCTTATTGTCTGAAGTGTGTCTCATCCAGCGCACACTTAAAGCTGATCCACAGTAATCCAGTTTCCTCATTATTCTACTTTCTGTCTTTTTTTAATTATTATTATTTGGCTACAAATGAATCGAATAAAATCGATTTTATTGTCCAAGTAGAAGAAGAAGAAAAAAAAGCGCACACACTCGCAGCGCCTGTGGTCCCAACATGGGGGGACAATTACGACAAACATCGTCCTTCTTGGAGAAACTCAAAACTTGTGATTTTGGGCAGAGCAGCAGCTCGGACACTGTAATTTCCCCTCAAACTCACGGTCATTACGCTCATCTGCGGTGGAAATCCCGGACTGAGCTGCTGCTGCACTCAGAAAACCCTCCACATACAGATTCACGTAAAGGATCACATGAGTGGAATTATTAAATCAGGATAAATAAAAATAAATAAATAAATACGCAAATCATAGTTTAGTATTAAAGCGTATGAACGGTGCGTAATTGTCCAAAAACCTTTATCATCCATGTGTTCTTTATGGCCTTTTATTTAACAGATTCCTTCATGTTTTTTTTACAGACATGGATGTAAAGTTATGGAAAAGCATCTTTATTTTTATTTTAATGCAGCACTAACCCCGTTCAGGCCTTTTGGTTTAGGTGACAGATATTTTTAATTTTTGAAGATTTTTCTTAAATATAAAAAGAGGGACTTTTGTCTCGCATTTGGAACCAAAAATACGTCAATTTATCAGAAAATTTATTTAACATAGTGTAAAAATCTACAATGAATACCAACTAATATTCTGCACATATTCTTTCTTGGGGTCAACAAAACTGGTGGTAAACTTGGCTCAGTTATTAGTAGTATCTCCATTTAATACTTCTTAATCATTCACTACATTTCAGAGCAAAAATACGGAGCTGGATTTATCTGACAGCCTGAATTCTTAGATTTTATCCAAACATGTTCAATTGTAAACCAGACATTTGCCACATTTACCAAAGAAGCAAAATTAGTGCATCCTTTAAAAAAAAGTTAGAAAAACTCTAACAGATGAACATAAAGTAGAGTCTGAGGTGTTAAAGCTAAAATCCTGCTAGTGTGTTTTTAAAGGCCTCATGATTCCCCCAACCCGCTTAAGACACCGAGACCACGGCGAGGATGGTTTTTAGTTTGTAATTAAACAGCAAAAAAGGTGTTTTCACTGTGAGAGTCCGGTTACCCAAAGGCCTCGCAGCTACTTTAATGTTAAGAGGTGGAAACTAGCTTCACCGTAAAAAGCAGCTAACGCACTGATCCTACTTCTGTCCGATGCCACACTTCACTGCACTGAATTTTTTGCTAAAAGTCACTTCTTCCATCTACAAAAACCTCCCCGAGGATTACGATCGATGGGTCTGTTCGCTCCGATGCCGGTGAAGGGAGCTGAAGCGTGAACGAGACGAAGAATATCAACTGTTAATGTCGAACTCTGCAGCCTTGACAGCAAAGTGTTTGCCGTGCCAGCTGGAAAAAATAATAATTGGAAGGTTGTGCAGACAAAGAGACAGAAACACACACACTTACACACACTCACACACACTCACACGAGGCAGACAGAGATGTTATGGCTTGTTTCTTCCCCTTTTCTCTTCTCCTGCCTCTAGGATCCGGCTTATTATACCAACAGGCTCATGTGTGGAGACTTATTACACATCCCAGCCTGTGCTCCAGCTTTCATCTGCGGCCAACATTCCTCCCCTCCCTGACTTCACCTCTGCAAAGCGCCGGGCACACCCTCCTTCAACTGTGTCAATGCTGTTATTTAGTGGCACGGCCTTGCTAAGTCGTCAAATTTTCTTTCTTCGGTTATTCTCCGTTTTCGCTGCCGTTTCGATAGCGACTGAAAGACGGAGCGGTCGGCTGGCGAGGGGGCAGGAGAAAGAAAGGTGCAACGTGGGAGCAAAAATTATTGGCCTCTTAAAACTCAATTGTGCAAGTGAGGGTTCTGCTCGAAGCCAAGACGCCTTCAAGTCTTAGTCTTGGAAGGTGCTAAATATGAAAAGGTTCTTCAACACAAACGTCTGGCTGGTTTTGAAGTCACTTTGGCTCAACGCTGAGGTGAATTAACAATCCGTGTTCGCTGCTACACGACGCGATTAGCTGCCCCGCAGGGAAGCAATTTGTCATCCGGCGTCAGGGGGAGATGAGTTACTGTCCGGCAGCGAGAGATGGAGCTCAAATACAAGCCGCTTGTGGGAACATGTGCGGGTCAGCTTACACCTTCGGGGACGGCGTGGGTAGATAGACTCAATGAGACGTCAAAACAATGAGCGATGAACCTAAGTGTTGCGCTGATATCCTGGTGCAGAGCTCCACTGTTAGTGAGTTCATTTATTACCATGAACACACTCAGTATTTATGGTAACTCACAAACGCTGCTCTTTAATGTGTATTAATCCGCAGCTGAAAATAGTCCCTGACAAATGTTTCTTCTTGCTTGGGGAATATTTAATAAAAAGATCCCACCTGTTTTAGGACATTACTGAGGCTAACGTTTAACGTCTTCATCAGGGCAGATAGAGCCACCAGCTGTCTAGCTTGCTCAGTACAATCCGCTCGTTTTTCAAAATAGATTCACAGACGAATAGACAAGAGGCCACGTCACCAACACCTATTCCTGAGATATTATGGCTTCACTTCTGGGGTGCTGTCGTGCTCTACATGGTAAATGGTTTGCACTTATATAACGCTTTTCAACCTTACCCAAAGCACTCTATAATGTTTCCCATCCATCCAATCACACACCAACAGCGACAGAGCCGTGCCATGCAAGGTGCCATCAGGAAATACACTGATGGACCAAAACACAACCACCTACAGATGAAGCAAATAATTATCTCATAAAGCTGCGTGTCAGGTTCTGAGATATCATAGACGGTAAATGTATGTAAATGTACGAGGTGAGATGACTGCGTTGTGACATCTCAGACATCTGCAAGGCTTGAGGGGTCACAAGTCCTTGGAGTGATGAACCAGGGGGGTCAGGTAATGTGCTGGAACAAGTCAGATCTCCTCCAATTTAACAGTTACAGGACTTAAATGATCTGCTGCTCATGTCGTAGCGTCTGATACCAGAGGGCACCTTCAGAGGTCTCGGAGAGTTCATGCCGTTACATGTTGGAGCTGCTTCGGCTGCATTCAAAGGACCAAGAAGGTATCATGGCCCTTCTAGGCAGGACACTGGGGCGCGCTGAGGTTTCAAAAGTTCCAGTGGGACAACGTCACCTCATCCTTTGAGGCCAGAAGTTTGTTGCAACAAACACGCCTCACTTCTACTGGGCATACGTCACATGCTTTGCAAACCGTTGCAACCCGATGAGCTGAACGGGTTGTAGAGCACAGCGGTACCGTTGTCCCATCCCGTGTCAAAGCACCATTTGGCAAAGGTTGGTCATAATGTTTTGGCACATCAGCAGAAACACAAAAGAAGTTTGTAATGTCATCATTAGCAGCTGTCTGAGGTCAAGAGTGGATTTCTCTGCATGTGTCCGTGACTTCATTCTACGTCGATGAACTTTTTTTTTTCTAACCCGGCACCTTTAGAACCTTTAGAACAACGCGTGGACGTGAACATGACCGTGACACGCATCCCGGACTGATAAGAGAACACACACACTGGAGAGGAGTTTGCCTGCGTGCACCACTGCTATCCCGCGAGGTGAGGTGAGGCGAGGCGAGGCGAGGCGAGGGGTAAAGGTAGACGTTGCCTGTGCGCCTCTTTCTGCTAAGACTGTAATTATGGCGTGCCATTATGGAGCGCAGAACAAAGGCGAGCCCTGCAGCTCTGCAGCAGCCGGAGAGCAGGGGATGTACTGCTGCCTCTATTCACACTGCAGTTAATAACAATACTCCTCAACGCACTGCAGACAGCGCGGCGTCAACCCTCCCACGTGTGTCTCCTTAGGTGTGTATGACACACAGGGGGGGAGGGAGGAGGGAGGGTGTGTGTGAGACAAAGAGAGTGAAAGACTGATGGGTTTGCATGGCTGTACTTTGCATATGCTGCACATGCATTCAAGTCGAGGCTTCAAGTCCAGCTTCAGGTTCACTGAGCCAAGTTCAGGTGGAAAACGAGCCAGTCGTCCTGTTAACATGAAGAAAAGGGGGGATGTGTGTTTGGGTGGCAGTGGAAGGACGCAGCGCTTTTAGTTCGAGCTGGCACCATGCGTGTGCAGAGTTGGAACGGGTGTCCAGTAGGTGGTTTTCACGGCAGACGCTTTGACTTGTTGCTGCAGGAAGAAAACAGGTGTTAACGAGAACTTTCACGTTA